TTACAGTAATTGCACTTGACAGGGCAAGATGTCACAGGACGCGGATTCGCCCAGCTGCGGGGCCCCGGCACCCGCCGGTCCTCGCCTGTGGCATCCTTCCTAGCTGCTGCATTGGTGCTTTGCCAAAATAAATCTGCACCCTCAAAATGAGGCAGGATTATCCCTCTGCTACCTGCCTGCATCCTGGCTCTTGGCTCCCATTGCAGCACTGGATTTTTGCAAACTTTGCTCCTGCGAACACCTCGGGCTGCCTGTTTGCTGCTAGAGCCCACCGTGGCCCCCAGGTTACCCGAAGCCGCGTCCTGGGAGGCCGGGCAGGTCAGGGCTTGTGTTTGCTGAAGTCTCTGGGGGTTGCGGCACGGTGAAAACCAGCCAGGTAGGTGCCCGTCTCTGCACTTAATATAGCTTTCAAAATGCCAAGGCACTAAAAAACCCATCATTTGGGAACTGCTATCCCTGTACTCATCACACTTTTCAGATCTTTTTAAAAAATAAGCAAGTTAAATTTGACTCCTGAAGGCTCCACTCCTGCCTCCCAGATTCGGGACTGTAATTTATTGGGACACAGTGACTTTGGCAGGAATGGCTCTTCAGAACACTGGCTGATGATTTAAGGTCTCTGCACAGCAGTTGCACTTTCAGCTCTTCCTATTTATTGAAAATAGTCGTGTACCTTAGTAACGGCTCAGCGATAGATTCAGAGCTAGTTTTAACCATCTGTAGTGTGCTGAAAAATAAATTTCCTTTATTTTGGCTTTAACCCAGATTTCTAATGTGCATTGCATAGGGCCAGGAAGAGTTTCGTATAGCTGAAAGGGGCCGGTTGTTTTCTGGGCTGTAGCTGATGCTGTGCGCTGCTTTACACCACGCGGCCGCCTTTACGGCTCTAAGGCTGTTTTCAGTTTGGCTTATGAGCGAATCTAGATCCTCTGAGGGGCTTAAAATAGTTGGCATATTTATGCTGGCAGTGTGGCGGTGCTGTGTGATGTGAGGGCTGTTGTGTCTGTTGCGTTGTGTTATTTCTCGCTGCTGCCGTGGGTAGGGATGATTCAGTGCTTGGGATTAACCACAGCTGTTGCAGCAGATTTAGGGATCGATTTATGGGGGAGGCTTCTCTCGGCACGGTCAGGTGCACCTTAAGAACGCCGGAGGATAAGCTGGGATAAAATACTACAGCTATTGGGGAATTCCTCTGTGATGGTTGTTTGGGGGTTTTATATCAGTTTTGCCTTTGGAAGTTCTTACGGGTGTTACACAATTTATTTTGGACTTTTTCCTTGGTTAGGGAAAACCAGTTGCCTTGCTGGTTTTGGACGGTGGTGCTGGGTTTTGGATCCAGGGTTTCATCCCTAAGGCTGCTGGCATGGGACAGGCTGTGTCTCTTCCTGGCCCTGACCTGCCAACACACCTCACTTCTGCTCCCCTGGGGCGACCTGTGGGCGCAGGTAACCAATGTGAACTGCCTGTTAGAAGTTGTGCTGGGGCAAACTCTGCTGTGGGAGGCAGAAAAGGCTGTCCTGGATTGCCTCGTGTTACCCTGCACAGCTCCAAGCGCTCCAGCAGAAATGCTCCACCCTCACATTCTGCAAAATTGCTTTAAAGAATGGGGGGAAAACCCAGATACAATCATAGGAAATTGAAGTCTGTATGTGATGCAAATTTATCCGTGTCCATGATGACAGATAAGCCCGGGCCATCGCCCATACAGCTTGTCTGATCTCAGCAGTGCTTGTGCTCGGGGAGGCTTTGGGCACTGATGGTGCTCGGGTGAATGCGCCCCGACACGAGCAGATGCTCCCCCAGACCTCCTCGGCCTCGGGCGGCGGCACAGGAACCACCCTGGAAGGTTGTCTGCGGGGCTCTGCCAGCCTGCGTTTTGGCAGGCATCTCTCCTCTGCTGCTCCTCCGGTGCAGCTCCTAGAGCAAAGGGGGTGCGTGGGTGCCCACAGCGGGGTGCCAGCCCGGCTGTGTCGCATTGCTCCAGACTGCTGCTGGCTCCGGCTCTCCCGGTAAGACGCTCCCACCTATTGGCCATGCTGCACAACTTCAGCTGCCCGAGGAACTTGCACATCCATCCCTCCCTCTTTGAGGGCAAAGTCAAGTTGGCACATTCCTGGAGTTATCCTGACCTTTGGGGATGTGCCACGGAGGGTTTAGCTTGGATTTAACCCATGAAAGATGCAACTGAGTGGGGAAAACGCTTTGGTCTACAAATATTAACGTACACTGCTGCAAGCCATCCCTGTGGCCTTCTGGCCTTATTGTGGCTGCAGGAGACAGTGGGGCATTGGCAGGAGCTCTGGGGGAAACCACCAGGGCCTGAGCATCCCCAGGGATGACTTTGCCCTCTGCCATGTGAGGAGTGGGAGCACCCATGTGCGGTGCTGTGGGATGGGTGATGGTGATGCCTGGCTAGTGGCAGAGGACGTGGCGTGCTGTGCCTGCAGGGAAAAGTGTGGATTATGCTTGAAAATGGAAGTGAGAAGGTAGCGTTTTATAATTGGATATCTTATTTAAGAGATCTGAGAAACCTTCTACAAATTTTTTCGTTTAAAGACAGAAAAATAAGATACCCCAAGTTCTCCCATAGGTGAGGACAGCTGGGTATTTGCTCAGGCTCTGCAGGCACTTGTACAGCTCTTCTCCAAGCCCTGCGCAGCCCCAGCTGTGGAATGGGCGGTGCGTGGCCGGTCCCTGGGAGCGGGCAGCTGCTGCTGGGCTGGGTGACCGGGCGGTGGGGGGCCGGGGTCCTTGCGATGGGGCTGGGGTCCCTGCGAGACTGGTGGAGGCTGCTCTATGTGGCAGGCTGGGGCTTGATGCTAATCCGTCTTCCTGGGGGCACAGCCTTCCATCTCCAGCAGCTCAGGCCAGCCATCGTATTTATTTGTTTTCTCATCATTTTTGATGTGCTGCAGCAAAAAAAAAGAGAGAAAATGAATGAGGAGGGGCTGGTGGCACAGTGCAAGTTTGCAGTGTGGCAAAACGTGCAACTTGGCTCGACGTGGGGGATAACACCGCTGGCCCACGTCTTCTGCAGAGAGGTAAGTGAGATGTGGCTCAAGAGGATGGGAGCCTCTGGAGCTGGTAGCAGGAGAAGGCCACGTACCTCTTCAAAAGGGCTCTTGTTCTTCAGCCCTTTTGCTCCCAAGAAGACCCAGTTGTCCCGGAAGCCCACCTCATTCACGTGGCTGCTGCCCAGCTCCACAAAATGTGCCCGTACTTTGTCGTTCATCCTGAAAGAGGGTAAGAAGGTGTCAGTGTGGTGCCAGGTGGGTGTCCCCTCCTGTCCCCCCTCTGCTGCTGACCACAGAGGGGACCAGCTGCACCTCCAGCTCCCCCCAGCTGTGGGTTTCTAAGGGAGCCAGATGTTGCTCCTGGGGCCAAACTCACTTTGTGGCAGCGTCATCATAGCTGGCTGTTAGCACGATGGTGCCATGCTGGATCTCTTGGAGGAAGGTATCCAGTTTGTTAATGTCTGGGAGAGAGGAGCATTAGGAAAAGAAAAAGGGATTTAGCAGGGACTGCTGCATGGCAGCTGTGGGAACCTCCTCTGGGTCAGTGGGAAGTGTCCTGGCTGTGCTGGTGCTAGCCAGGATTTGGGGTCGTGGGCCCGGGGAAGGATGGGCTTCCAGATGCTGCATTCCCCATCTTGCCTTCCCACCTGGGCTCTCCCGCGGAGCCTGGGGCTGGCACCTTCCTCCTGCTGGCATGACATCTACAGGGGGGAATTTGCATCTGAAGTTTGCTCACTAACTGTGAAATCTTGTTACATGAATTTTCTTCCCAACACCAGAAGCAAGCTTGCTCGGCCGCAGAGCTGCCTGCCCTGCGATTCTGCCTTTGGCTGTGTTGCGGGGATTATTCCTGATCCCGCATCCGTGGGATGCTCGAGTCCAACGCCCCATCTAGTGGCACAGGAGCCGACTGCTGTCTCCTTCCCGGAGACTCTCCCACCGCCCATCTCACTCACAAACTCAGCCTGAAAACTCATGATACTGGTGTTTCTCCTTAAAACTCCAGAATTATTAAGAATAGGCTGCAAAAATCAAAAAGCAGAAAGGGTGATGGATCCCTGAAAAGGCTCAAACGGCAAAGGGTAAATCAAAAGCACTATAGGGGTGGTATTAGCATGTGATTTTTGGGGAGTCCTGCCAAAACCCTGGAGAGGTTTGGTAACAGCTTTGCAACAAAGGTGGGATTTACAGCATCCTGCAAGTCAGCGCCAGCTGGGCTGTGAGCAGGTGCTGCCTTGGTTCAGGGCATCTTCTTGCTGTTGGGAAGGTTGTTTGAAGCGGACAGGTGCAGGGACGTGGTCTTTGCCACCAGGCTCTGCTCCCTGTGCCCAGCCTTGCTGGGGCTGGGGGTCACACCTCGCCTGCCATGCCCTGAGCTCCTCATTTCTTCTCCTGCAAAAGGCAGGGAAACAAGCTGCTGCTCAGCCACCACCAGAATTAAAAAAACTGAGTTGAAAGTTGCAAAAATCTCAGGATTAGTCTATCTGATCTCAGAAAGCAGCCTCTCTGAGGTGTCAAGTGCCCTGGTTTATTCAGTTTAGTGGAATTATTTTTTTCAGGCTCTTGCGTGCACGTACAAGGAGTGAGAAGCCACCCTCGGAAGTGGATGCATTAGGAGGACTCCAGGCTCAATGGCCTCGGGGAAAGCTGAGCTTTTACCACCGGAGCTGGCGATCCTGGTCAAAGTCCACTAGAACTTATTGTTAAATCCGTGGCAGATGAGCAGCCTAAACAGCCGGCAGTGCTGCTGCGAGCCCTGGCTGGCAGCTGCCAAGCAGCAAAGCCACCGCGCTTACCTCCAGAGTACATGTCGAACGTGTCAGCTTTCAGGGGCTGCCCGCTTGTTCCTGAAAGGTTAAAATTCAAAACAGAGCACAGGGAGATGGCACTGGGGTGGCTCTAGGCTTTGCCTGGCCACCAGCTTGGGGTTTCTGCTGTAAAATGCTTTGCTCTTCCCGTGGTGTGTCGTATTTTCTGTAATGGTGAACCATGATGGAGCCGTCGTGCACGACCCCGGTAGGTTTGTTGCCATCTCACTGGCCCGCCCAGCCATAACTGTGGCTGTGCACCCCGTGCGACACAGGCCTGATGTGATTTTGGCTCAGCTGTGGTGCCGGCCAGGGTCTCTGGTGGCCTGTTCCCTCCCGGGGGAGGAAGGGACCCCGGCTGTGGGCAGAGGGGGTTAGCGCCCGCCTGACTCACCGTTCACCAGCGCGATGTTCAGGCCTCTGCCAATGTTGTTTTTCATGCTGCTCATGAGGCTGGAAAGGAAAGTGGAGAGCACCAGTAAGTGGAGATGCTGGTGCCAGTGAAACTGGAATGGGGCAAAGTGGCTGCCGATAGAAAAATATCCCCAGAAGTGGTAGCAAAGAAAACTAGTTCCAGGGTTTTTTTTAACCACAAATGCACTGTGAGGGCCATCGCTGTGCTTGGCAGAGGCCAAGCTTGCCCCGTTCAAGCCCAGAGCAGCCACGGCTGCCCCATCCACACCATGTGCTGCTTACACCATGTCATTGAAGCAGATGGAGGGTCCCACCACATTTGCAGCACCGCTGATGATCTTGAAGGCAAAATGGTTCTGGGGGCAACTCTTCTGGTTCCCACACTTGTGCCGGGGCAGCTGCTTGCCTGCAAGGGAGGAGTGGAGCTGGAAGCCATGGTGTTGGCCCCGGGGGGGACACAGGCCATGTCCCTGGGGGGCTGAGCAGGGCTGGCACTGGGGCACGGTGACCCACTAAGGGGGCAACTCCTGGACCAGCTTCTTGCACTAATGAGGCTTTTGCTGGGGCTGGGACCAGCTTCTTGTTTGAGCTTTACGGTGCGGAGGTGTGGGGTGGGCTGAGGCGCCGGTGATGCTGGGTGTGAGCAGCGGCACGGCATGGCTGATGCCGTGGGGATTGCGGAGGGGTGTGCGCCGGGGAGCGCTGGGAGCTGGCACTCGTTCAAGGCCCACCCCGAGGGGCTTTTCTGCTCGGCGTTCCCCATTCTCAGACAGGGCAGGGACCCGTGCCAGACCGCCTGGACGAGCCCGGGACCTGCTTCCTGCTGCAGCCTGTGGCCCAGGGCTGTCCCTGCTGGGGCAGGGAGAGCGCTGGGGGGTCGGGAGCTTGCAGAGCCTGCCAAAGCCACGGCGGCTGTGAGCAATGACCAAATTCCCCTGTCTTTGGGAGGGTGGGATTTTTGCCATGGGAAAGGGGCTCCTGAAGGCAGCTGTTGTGCATCGCCCTCAGCCCTGGCGCGGTGTTGTGCGGCGGAGGTGGAGTAGAGAGCGGTACTCACTGATGGGCTTCTTGGAGGCACCTGTGGGTACCAAAGCGGGAGGGTTAGACACCCTGGAGAGCCGCCAGCTCTTCCCCAAGCCAGGGGCAGCCCTTCAGGCACCAGCTCTCCAAAACTGCTCCCCATGGCTGCAAGCACCGCCAGAGCCACCCGCCCCCATGCAGCTTCCCACCACGCTGTCCCCTCCCTGCCCTGATGGTCAGAGCTGGTGGCTGTAGCCCCGGCCAGGGACTGCAAGTGCAAATGTTCACGGCAACTATATGCAACGAGAGGGCTGCGACCCCCTCCCTCCGGACCTGCCCAGAGCCCTGCCGGTGCCTCACCGAGCCAGCTCCGCAGGCTGACGGCTTTCTGTCCGTGATCGAAGTACGTTTGCAGGATGAACCATGTGCTCAGCAGCGTGATGAACAGTGCCACGTACTGGATCATGCCTGCTAGGGGTGGGAGAGCAGCCAGATGGGAGCAGCAGCAGTGTGGGTTAGGGACCGGAGCATCCCTCTGGCTTCTTGGGGACTTGGTCTGTGCGTCCCCAGTTTACCAGGCGCAGGGTGACAGCCAGCATTTGTGAGGCAGGGGAAGGCATCTTAACCCTCCTTCCTTCATCCTCTAAAAGGACCCTGATGTCCAAATTAGTATCTCTAGAGCATGTGGCGGTGCTCAGACAGGCATTACCCTTCTACTGGGAGGCACTATTCATATTTCTCTCTGCATTAAAGTATATCTGATAATTGGTCAGAAAGCCATGTAAATCCAGATATTTCTTATATTCCCAGTGCTGGGAAGGCTGCTATCCCCCAATTAGTCACTAGCTACAGCCAAGCAGCTGCTAATACAAATGTGATTGGCATTTGGCTTTAAAGCAGTGTTCATTGGAGCAAAACGTTCCAGTCCTGCATGGAAAGAGAGTAGAAAAATATACTTATACTGCAGCTGAATGGCTCTTATGGAACCAGGAATGTCTCAATAGCCCTATCTTCCCACCCACGGAGGGTTTCACTGGGAAAAATACAACGGGCGGAAATCTGCATGAATCTTTTAAAAACCTGATGCTTATACAAAGGCCCTTTCCCATGCCCCAGGGTGGCTGGGCTTGGAAGGGGTCATATAAATCAGAGAGAGGCATGAAGAGCCGTAGAAAAGTGGACAGAGCAAAGTAAATCTGTCTCCCTCCTTACCTGTCACCCGCATGGTGATGGGGAGCGAGAGCACGACCAAGGGGGTGGCCAGTGGTCACGAGTCACCCTGAGGACAAAGAAGGCAATACCATAAAGCATACCTGTAACCACCAAAGCCAGGCAGACATTAGATGAAAAAATAACTGCTATGTTTAGCACATGTGCAATAACTAAGAGGTCACCGAAGGTGCATGAATTCTTGTTAGGCACACGTGCTCAGTCCCTCCCTGGTGTTGAAGTCCTGGCGCCTGTATGTTGGAGCAGGATGCACTGATTGAGCTTCCGTCATTCTGAAGCCTCTGAACTCTTCACTGTGACTGTCTGCTGCCCTGTGCCCTCCTGTTTCATGTCCTTTTCTCAGTAATGGATCGCGCTTTTCTGTTCTCCTGATAGTGATGAGCTCAAGGAGTGTATTTTCGATCATGGCTTTCCTGCATTTCCTTCTGGGGTGATGCAAAGCAGGTTTCAAATATCAGGGGCTGCAAGATGCCATCTGAGGACGGGCTGTGATTTGGCCTTGCCCAGTCAGGGGAATCTGCGGGAACCAGCTCGTCCTCCTTAAAACCGGGAAGGGAAGGGAGAAGGGAAGGGATAAGGGAAGGGAGAAGGGAAAGGGGAAGGGAAGGAGGGCAGCGCCAGGTTTGCAGGCACCTGACTTAAGAACAGAAATATTTCCACTTGTCCAAATCCTGCAGCATCTTCACCCACATGAATGGGGAGTGGTTGTAATTTAGGGTGTAAACTATTTCCTACCTGAGCGAGTCCGTCTGCCCTCCTTCCTCCTGCTGCCAGCCCCGACGGATGGGACGGGCACCTACCACTCCCCACACTGGGCTCCTGGGGGCTGGGGACCCACGCCTACCTTTGAAATTCGGGGCTGCAGCCTGGTTAATGTCCGTCTGTAAACCACTCCGGAGTCCTAAGGCAAATAGTCACCTGTAAGACATGTGCTCAGAGTTAAAGAGCCTGATGTTAACTAAAGCAGCCCTTGGTGAGGCTTGGCGTAGAAGAGCTATGCTGAGAGTTGCTTTTCCTGTTTGAAGGGTAAATAAGGAGCAGCAGGTTGTAGCAGGGCTGGGCTGAAAGTTGATTTCAGGCTTCTGCGTCACGAGGAAGAAGAGAAGGGTTTTGCCTCCTGCCCAGCCCTGCTCCGGGTCCCCTCCCAGGGCTTGAGCGCAGGGAAGGTGCCTGTGGCCACATGGCTGACCATGGTCGTGGTGCAGCGTCCTCCCTTGGGCACCCTGAGCGGGGTGGACCTGGCACCCCCCTCGGCACCCAGCAGGATGGACGTGGCTTTCCCCCTCAGCACCCTGGTGAGATGCTTCCCCTGCACCCTGGGGTAGGTTACAGCAGCACCGTAAGGAGCTTTTAGGCAGCCTTAAAAACAAGGAGGAAAAACACCCGCACTGCAGGAGGAAAGCTGCTGCTTTCCTGCTTGGCCTGTGACCCAAGAGGGGATTTGCAGTGGGCCAGGGAGGCCAGTGCCTGGCCGGAGTGGCAACCCCGTGGTGACATTTCAGCGGTCCGAAGCCAGGGCCCAGCACCGCTCCCCCCAAAGCCCCTCCACGGCGCCCGCGTCTGCCGTGAGCCTGTGGCAAGGAGGAGCTGCCGAAGCTGCTCTGGCGGGAGCTGGCGGCTGCCCAGGGGAGAGTGCCCTCCTGGCTTATCTGCGTTTTAAAGGAAGGCTTGGAAGGTATTTGTGTACCCTTGCGTATCACGGCAGTGTGTTTTTGATAGGGTATCAGCTAAGCACGTTTGCTTCCCAGCAGCATCTCACTTCTCTTTGCAGCTATTCCTCCCAGAGCAAGGTGGCTGTGAGCCGGAATCTGTCTCTGCAGGAGGTGGTGCAGGGGTCCGTGATGCCCACAGCTCTTCCCTGCGCTACCTTCTCCTGGCCCATGCCAGACCCCTGGCACGATATCCCTGAAATGGGTTTTAAACTCGTGTTGGAACTGGCATGAATAAGCCTGTTTCAGTGAGCTGGTGGAAGAGCCACAGACCTGAAAATGGACAATTTAAAGGTTTTTGGAGGACAATTGTGGCTGGATCTGGTGGGACAGCACCGGACTCTTGCCTTTTACTCCTTCCAGCATGAAGTTTTGCTTTTTAAATGCAGGGAGCCTCTCCTGCGCCTGGCTCCCCAGCCCAGTGCCTGGCAAGATGATGGGTGGGATGGGGGCAAGAGAGCAGACCTTAAAATCCCCCTCGGCAAGTGGCAAAGTCTTTGAAATTGGTATTGATTGGCTTTTGGAGCCTGTTGAGTTCCCTTCCATAACGCCATGAGCTGGTGAGGGTTTGGACCTGGGCTGTAACTCAGACCCAACGAGCAGAAACTCCCCCGGGTTTGCAAAACTGTCCCAGTTTGGTCCCCGGCGCTGCAGGGGACACCAGCCTCACTGGGGCTCAATGCACAGCACTTCACCAAATTTGTGGTTTTTCTATGCACATATTGATTTTCTTGCAGAGAGAGAGAAATGGAAAAATAAACCGATAAACTCTACTGCTTTAGGGAAGTCGTTTATTTATTTGGGCTATTTATCTCCATCCTAATCCAGGTAAAATTTATTGGCTGAAATTCCTGGAACCTGATTGCATTACAAGAGGGTAGCACTGTCCTGGGATTTCTATTATATTATCTTTTAATTGTTTAGATTGATTTTTTTCTTTTCTTTTTTTTGGGGGGGGAGGGGGCCAAGATTGTGCTGGGAAAAAAGACGACTGTGCTCTGGCATCTGCCAGAGAGCGACTTGCAGGAGAAGGAGAGAGGAAGAAACTGTGGTGGGTGATAAACAGAGTTATTTGTCTAATAATCCTGAAACTTATTTGCTTAAAAACCCTCCCAGGAACAAAAAAGTTCTCGGACAAATATTGCTACAGAGCTCCGTGGCATTGCAAGGCATCGGCTCCGCCCTGAGCCTGCTCAGGACTGAAGTGCTGCTTGGCAGCGCTGAGCTACTGCTGCCAGGAAGGAAGCAGGGCAGGTCCCTGCCCTTGCAGGGGGGTTTTCCAGGATGCAGCGGGTGGATGCTCCCTTTCCCTCCCAGCACTTCAAGAAAACTTCACTTCTCTTTCCCAGAAGCTTCTGGCTTTCTTGGTTTTGGGTTTTTTTTGCTGCTTTTGAGCCCCACACATCCTTCTCTCTCCCAGCAGGTCCCTGACCGTGAATGAGCCTTCATTTTGGTGCGGGGTGGGGACACAGCTGCCAGATGTCACCCGTGCCCACGCCCAGCGCATCACCCCTCCAAGAGTCAGGGGTTTCCTGTGAAACTAAACACAGGGGTGCAGAAGAGGGGCTGGTGCGGGATGGGCGAACATCCACTGTGTGTCCAGGGCTGGTTGTACCACGAGAGGATGGAGATGATCTTTTTAGTCTCGAAATAAGTCAATCCAGCTAAGCTTTGCTGAGTTACTCAATGGGAGAGTGCTGTTTGCTGGAGGGCTTATAGATTCCTCAGCTTATGAAAATGCTTGGCCAGCTGCTCCATCCACCAAACAGCTGGAGAGGGCATCTTATGGTGAAAATGCCCCCAGCACAAGTCAATGGTTAACCAGGGTGAGGCCCTGATCCTGAAGCAGGAGCCGAACAGGATGCACTGCGGTGGTGGGCAGGGGTGTGGGGCTGGAGCCAGCAGCGGTGGCTGACCCCCAACCGGGAGCAGGACTGCAGCCAAGGTGGGACATGACACCTGGAGGTGCTGCGGAGAAAGCCGGGCCGTGGGGCCGGTGCAAAGGGCACAGGCTGGTTTTGGTGCCTGCTGCAGCTGCATCCCTGCCCGCTGCTTGCTACGATGCTGCCAGAGGAGCATCACCCATCCGCGGCTGCCACTGATTCGGTCTCTTGTTCTTTCATTTGTTGTTGGCGGCCACTTGTCTGGTTCTCTGCACATGTCACTGAGCATGAAGCTAAATCCCTATGAGCTCGCCTCTCCGGTGAGGTTTCCCCAAGCAGTGAATCAAGAGCTGTGGCAGCGGTGAGAGATGGGGGGAGAGATCGCACCCCCTCCAGTGCGGGAATGGCAGCCGGCAGCTCGGGGGGCATACCTGTGCCGTGGATTTGCAGGTTGTGCCAAAACCCTGGGGCAAAAGGAGGGATGCAAGTGTTGACGCTCAGGTGGCAGCAAGCTGGCTGCTGGGAAGAGGCATTTGGGGCCAAAAGCACAGGATAAGCGGGGGCTATGCAGCAGTCCCGCCACTGGGCAGCCACGGCAAAGGGCTCTGGATTTTAGTGGCTGCATGTACAGGAGGACCTGAAATGCATTTTTGGCAGCTAGCAAAGCCCTGGGTGCCAGCACCCTGAGGGGTCCCGGTCGGTGCCTGGGAGGTGTCCCAGCAGTCGGGGGTGTGTGCTGGAGCATTGTGCATCTCTCCTGCTTACCCGTCTGCAGCCCGAGCCCTGGCTGCTCTGAGTGTGAAGAGGTTGCTCTTGGGAGACAGGGATGCTTTCGTTATTAGAGCAGGTTTTCAGGTGACCAGTGTTTGCTGCTTTCTCCCAGAAAGCACTTGGTACCGCGTGTCCTCCCACCCTTCCATTTAGTCTGGTTTCTCAGATCTCCAGCTGACGCCATCAGCTTTTTAAAAAAATAATGCTCTCCCTGCTGCTGCTGTGTGGGCAGCAAGACCTGGTCCCTACACAAGCTCTTTCAGCAGTGCAAGAAAAACCAGACGATATCCTGAACAGCAGTTTGGCCTCTGACAAGCCGCATGCTTTGCATAGCGAACACCTTGCAAATTCATCCACAGCCATGTTGGATGAAGGGCTTTGACCTGAACCATGATTCCACCACACATCCCACAGTGGGGGAAAATGTGGATTTACCCCTGCCGCTAACACAGGTAGTTCATTAACTCTGCCTATGAAACCAGCAGCTCCACCTCGCAGCATGTATGCCAGCGTGTGGGGTTTCCCCTTCATCTCCATGCTATGAGAAGGAAGAACAACTGAAACTTTCCCTGTGCAACCTTCTAACCTGCCAGCAAGTCAAACGAAGAGTGCCGCAGAAAGGCATTATTTCA